CCGACTCCTGCACAAAGAAACACTCACAGTTTCGAAAGTAGGGGGTCCTTGTATGTTGGGGCCTCGAATCCAGGTAAGAAACAGCCAGTGTAGTTCATCTTCTCCACCAAGGTGTGTGTGGTGTCTCCATACTAGGGGTGGGAAGTGGCCTTGCTCAGTGCTGAGCACTTACCCTGCCAGGGCCAGGTTGTTTTCACAACACAAACACAGCCCTGAGTTCTACCATGAATCTAATGTGCTTTTGTTTGGGAGTGTTTTTAACAGTCTGCCTGTGGGATCAGGAGCTCTGTGAGGGTAAGAATGCTGTTTTGCTGTTGATGGTTTTGTTTGTTTATGATACAGAGTCTTGCTATATAGCCCAAGTTGGCCTACAACTCACAGAGATCCTCCTGCCTCAGCTTCCCAAATACTGGGAATAGGCATGAGCCTCCACGCCTAGCTTTTGTTCTTCATGGTATCCTTAGCACCTAGCTCAGTGTCTGGCACATAGTAGGTACCCAATCAAACTGTGACTAGATGAAGGAACTGGATTAAATTATGCTGGAGGGCTCTTTCAATCTTTTTTTTTCAATTGAACACAGGGCCTTGTGCATGCTAGGCAAGTGCTCTGCCACTGAGTTCCATCCAAGTCCTCTTTTTTCCTTTTTATAATTTTGTGTGTTTGTGTATGTGGTGTATGTATCTGTTTGTATATGTGCATGAGCTTGTCTATGCATGAGTCTGTGCTTGCATGTAGAGGCCAGTGGTCCGTTGTGTGTCTCCTCAATCACATTCTCCATTCTTTTTTGGGGGTGGGGGGCAGGGTCTCTCAATGAACCTGGAGCTCATTGGTCCTCCTGGGCTTATGGCCAATAAGTTTCTGTGTCTGCCTCCCACACACAAGTGCTGGGGTCACTGATATGCACTACCGTGCCTGGCTTTTTCCATTTGCTAGGGGATCTGAACTCAGGTCCCCATGCATGCACAGCAAACACTTTGCCCACTGAGCCATCTCTCCAGCCTTCTTTTTTGGGGGGATCTTTTTGAGACAAGGTCTCCCTGTAGCCCCAGTTGGCCTAGAACTCACGATGTAGACCAAGCTGGCCTTAAACTCACAGAGATCAGCCTGCCTCTGCCCCCCGAGCGCTGGGACTAAAGGCATGCACCATCACGCCTGATCCTTTTTTTTTTTTTTTTAAATTTTGAGACTGAGTCTAAGTTACTCAGTGGATCTGAACTCACTGGATAGCCTAAGCAGGCCTTGAACTTGTGATCCTCTTACCTCCATCTCCCTAGTAGCTCAGATTATAGGCATTTGTAACCAGACCTATCTTAGCAATCTTAAAATTTCACTTAATTTCGAGGAGGTAGGACCCGTAACTGTCTCACAGCAGCAAGGGTGCTGCACAGTGATCATCCTTGTGAAGTACGGACGGTATGCCAGGCACTTTGCTACTAAGTGCTTTCCAGAAATGACCTTTCCAACAGACCCTGGAGGGGTGGGGCTGAAAATGGAGGCCCAGAGAGGCTCACTAGTGGCTAGGTCACACAGGAGGGCCAGCTCTAGTCCCTGCCCATTTCACAGAGCCACAGAGAAGAAACATGCTTCCCTAAAGACACCCAGCTAATGTAGGGTATGGCTTCCTCAGAAACCACCCTTCTCCTTCCATCAAAGCCCCTGCCCACAGTTGTTGCTTCCTACCGGGAAAGTTGACTGGCAGTTCCCAGAAGCCCCCACACACTGATCAAGCATTATTAGAAGTCAGACTTAAGGAAGTATGTATTCTGAAGCACATAGATACCAGGGAACAATGGGGTGAGTCAGGGGTCCTGGTGTTTGAACAGGTTCTGAAAGCTGGGTGGGGACTGGAGTCTCAGTAGTTAATAACAGTAGTGGGAGTGGGCGCCCAAGAGTCTCAGTGGGTTCTGACAGCAGTGGAGTGGTGGGTTCTGTTGTCTCAATGGGCTCTGACAGTAGTGGGGGTGGGGCATCAAGTTAACTCACCGTCTGCAGCACTGCAAACTTCACCTTCCCAAACTTGTCTTGCTCTACCCAGGGCTCCCGCACAATTTTGGCACCCCGTTCTCGGGCTTTCTGCAAGGGAGACCCAGTGGGGAGAGTGTTGAAGGCTGGAGCCTCCCAGAGCCCTTGCCTGCTGCACCTGCAGTGGACCTTCCATGTGGTCCTGACCATTATCAGGAGCCCTAACTTCAGCTGGACCTGCCATAACCATGCCTCATGCCCATTTGGGAGCTAGGGAAACCGAGGCTCAGTCTAAGTTGGAGCTATAGGGACAAAGTGGTGGCTTTGGGTGTCCACCCTGCCTCTGCTAGCTTACTCTATGACCCAGCCAACTTGCCAGTCCTCAGTTTCCCTTTTTGTAAAAGAAATGGCCAGATAGCAGAATAGGAATTGACACTTATCGAGTGCTTATAGTGTGTCAGACCCTATGGCAAGTGTACACTGCGTTCACACTGTCTCAGAAGAAGCTCACTTGCTTATAGCATAGGCCAGGCACTATTCTAGGGATTGACCTGCCCAGTCCTCACAACATTATGTAGAGCTTGTGTCGTCTCCATTCTATAGGTGAGGAAATACAGAGAAGTTAATCACTTACACAAAATCACATAGCTAATGAGATTCAACCCAGGCACCCTGGGATCCACTCACTGAATCTTTAAACTGCCTCCCCTCCTTTTCCTTATTTATGTATTTCTGTATTTATTTATTCATTCATTCATTTTTATATGTACGAGATTTTACTACATGTATGTAAGCACATCCATGCATGCAATGCCTTCAGAGGTCAAAAGAGGGCATTGGATCCCTTGGAACTGGAGTTACAGATGGTTGTTAGCTGCCATGTGGGTGCTGGGAACTGAACCCAGGTCCTCTGCAAGAGCAGCCAGTGCTCTTAACTGCTAAGCCATCTCTCCAGCACTCCCCTCTACTTTTTATTAAATGCAATGCTGGGGATGCATGTTAGGCAAGTGCTATACCAATGAGCCACACACCAACTCATGAAAAAAAGAAACTCCTTTTTTCAGGTAGGGCCTCATGTAGCTGAGGCTGGTCTCAAACTTGCTGTGTAGCTGAGGATGATCTTGAACTCCTGATCTGATCTGCCTGCTATGACTACAGGTGTGTATCATAATGGCTGGCTGTAAACTGCCTCTTGAGGACTGTATTTGGTTCAAAGTCATGATCATTGTAATCCATTCCATTTTATAACCTCGCAGTGAGGCTGTGATTGCTCCTCATTTTATAGAAATGAGGAAACTGAGGCTCAAAATGAGGACCCACAGTAAAGGATGAGGCCATGGGCGCTGGAGAGATGGCTCAGTAGTCAAGAGCACTGGCTACTCTTGCAGAGGACCCTGGTTTGGTTGCCAGCCACCCATGACAGCTAACAACTTAATTCCAGTTCCAGGGGATTTTATACGCTGTTCTAGCAGGTACCAGGCACCAGGAACACATGTGGTACACATACATACATGTAGGCAAAACACTCATACACATAAAATAGATAAGTAAATTTTTTTTTTTTGGTGTTTTTGAGACAGGTCTCCCTGTAGTCCCAGCTGTCCTAGAACTCACTATATAGACCAGGCTGGCCTTGAACTCACAAAGATCCGCCTGCCTCTGCCTCTCAAGTTCTGGGATTAAAAGGCGTGTGTCACCACGCCCGGCTAATAAGTAAATATTTTTAAAGGGTAGGGTATGTGTCACTGGAACTTGGGTGTATCCCACCAGCAGCCAGCCATGACTGATGGGGTCCCAGTGGCAGGGCCTTGCTGCATCAGCCCAGGTGTTCCTCACCTGCACAATATGGTCACAGTCTTCTACCTCAAACGCAATGTCCTTCACCCCATCACCGTGCTTCACCAAGTGGTTGCCCATCTCTGTGGTGGGCAGGAGAATGAAGACAGTGGAGTTCTCAGCCTCTACCCTGACCCCAGCTCCTCTGGGCTCCAGCCTCATCCCAGCCTCCACCCATGCCTTGACCCCACTGGCAGAGCCATGCTGCAGCCCCTGAGCCCCTCACCTTTGTTCCATGGGTTGAGAGCAGAGCAGAGAACAAACACAATCTAAAACAGAGGGCAAGGGGATGTAGCTGGTGGCTGGGGAGTGTGGCAAGGTGACTGTCTTCCCCTCTTCCTGCCCACCCTGAGACACTCCTGGTGGAACACAAGGCCCCTCCATCCAGGACTTCTGGGCCACATGTTCCAGCTCCTTTTCTGCCTCAGTTTCCCCCTGGTCCTCAGAACTGGGGACTTTCTCCTTTGGTAGCCATGCCCTGGGTCCTCAGACACTGGTGTTCAGAGGATTCCAGGAAATTCCATGGACTAGAGTGCCACTTAAACTCTCTGCTCTGATACCCTAAGTTTCTAGAACTTCTATGTAGTCAGTGTTGGGCCAGAGGGACATGAAACTAGGAAGATCCCTGTTGTGTGGTGGTACCCAGGGACCTGGAGAATGGGCCAGTGGCAGCTGAGTCATGCAGCCAGGTGTGTGTCCTGAAACAGGCGTGTACTCCACACAGGATGCCCTGGAGCTCTCAGCACCAAGACATGGGCACCTGGGTGGGGACATGGGGGCTCTTGAATGGGGACTCACCTTTCCTTGCTTGATGACATGGCTGACCACCTCCCGGGAGCCTGTCTCCAGGCCCTTGTAGGCCAGTGGTTCAAAGCCCATCTTGTTGCAGTAGAAGGAGGCAGCCTGAACAACACAGTGACAAGGGGTTCAGGGTGGTGGTCAGACCAACTTGTTCCTAGAAGGGAGCCCCAGTGTCCCAGCTGCCCTCTTGTCTCTCATGCAAAGAACCTCCTAGTTAAAAAGGCAGCGGTTCCACCGTCACAGAGCTTTCCTGCTGGGGTCTGGGGCTCTGATTGTGTAAGAGGATCCAAAGTGCCATTTCCAACCTGGCCTGGATCCTCCCCCCTCAGTACCCAATCACATTCCCTCCCTCAGGGAGGCCCTCTGGCCTGTCCTCTGCCCCTCCGTCACCCCTTTCTACCTGTTTGGCATTGCCAACCCAGAAGGTCACAGAGTGGAAATGGAGGAATCGGCCTCTCTCGGGCTGCAGAAGGGACGAGCAATGAGGTAGGATCCCTGGAAGTGGGTTCCCTAGCCACTTCGTCCCACCTCAACCCCAGAACCTAGGTGAAACTCCCACCATGCGGCCTTGTCTAGCTTCCCAAGACATTTCTCATTTTAAGATTTGAGCTCCTTGGATTCAGGACTGGGAAACCCCACAGGAGGCCTGCCCAGGCTCCACAGAAGGAAACAACCTTATGTTGAAGCAGCATGGATTTAAGATAGACCTCAGGGCTTTTGTATGTAGGTAGGTAGGTGCAGATGGCAACACCTGCTGTCCCTATTCCTTTGTTTGTATTAACACTCTGTCCCCCTCCTAGGCCAAAGCTCTTACATCTCTCCTCTGGCTTACCTTTGGTCCTTTGTTGCTGTAGGTCGTCTAGAAAGGAAAGGAGAGGCTGTGAACAAGGCGTTTCTGGAAGTGTCGCCACGAGTCGAGATTCATGAGGAGATCACAGTGGCCCAGGCAGATCTTACTTACCATGGTCGGTCCTGGTCAGCCTTCTACTGCAAAGTCTGGGACAAGAGGTTTGGGGAATGCTGGACAGAGTATTTACCACCTGGCAGGGCAGGGCCCGCCCCTGGCCTGGCCTTCCTGGGGGCGGGGAGCTGAGCCAACTCTAGGCTCCTAGGCTTGGGAGCCACTGAGTGAGCTGTGGCCACAAAGGACAAGGCAGTGGTGCCAAGCTGAGAGAAAGGAGTGGTGAGCCATGGTCCACTGGCCAGTAGAGCAGAGCCAGGGCAAGAAGCCAAGGGCACATTTTCTCCAGGACCCTGGGGTCCATCTAGACCCAACACCACCTGCCATCTAGACCCAAAGCTCCAAAGCCAAGGCCAGGTTAAATTCAGGATAACTCTGGCATTCTTGCTCAGGGACTCAGCAGAGCTGTTAGGGGCTGGTCTTGAAATCTGATTTGCAGAACAAAAGTGTAGCTTATATTTAAGGCAAAGGGGTGTGTGTCATAGTGGTTGGAAGCGTGAGTACAGAGGTTTGTGCTCTTACTCTGCTGCAGACTGGCTGGAGAAAGTCACCAAGCCTAGGGATCATTTTCCCTATCTGTAAAATGGGAACAATAGTCAGGTATGGTGGCACACATTTGTAATCCCAGCTCTTCAGAGGGAGAGGCAGGAGGAGCTCCATAAGTTCAAGACCAGCCTAGTCTGTGTAGTGAGTTTCAGGCTAGCCATGGTTACATAGTGAGACCATATCTGAAAAGTATAGTGTGTTGGGGGGGACTATAGCAATACGTAGGGATGTGTGGGACAGGGTATAGTCTCTAGAATGGGGCCTGGCACACATTATGGTTTCTGATCATGCAGCTGGGATGGGGCTGGGAAAGGATGGGACGTCTTGATTTTGCTATAGCCTGAGTACTTATTACAGGGAAAGTTATGGCTTTGCCCCTACCCCAGGTTCCAGCACCACAGAGTACCAGGAAGGTAGCGCTGATGGCTCTGGAGGGAGGAAGGCCCAGGGCCGTTCCTGGTGTCCCTTCACCCAAATCCTTGGGTTTTACTTTCTAGGAAGATCAAGTGCTAACAGCAGACATTTACCTGAGGACACTAGGACAGCACTCCCCGCAGCTTCCCATCCCCTTCTCTGGCTCCACACCAGGCCCCAGAAACTCTTTTCACTGGCTGACAATGGAGTATCTGGTTGAAGACACAGGCCAGAGAATTTTCCCAGGTCATATGGTTGATAAGAGGCAGAAAGAGCCAGGCTACTCTAACTTCGGGACCCACACTTTAAAAAAAACTGCTGTATTGGGGGCTGGAGAGATGGCTCAGTGGTTAAGATCACTGACTGTTCTTGCAGAAGACCCGGGATTGAATCCCAGCACCCAGATGGCAGCTAACAACTGTCTGTAACTCCAGTTCCAGGGGATCCGACAGCCTCTTCTGTCCTCCATGACACGGGTGCACTTACCTACATGCAGGCGATACATGCATACACATAAAATTTTTAAAAAATTGCTGTATTGCCCACTTCACAAAGGGGGATTCTATTATCCCTGCCAGAAAAATGGGGAAACTGGGCTGAGGAGATAGCTCAAGTGGTAAAGTACTTGCCTTGCAAGCATGAGAACTTGAGTTCAATCCCCAGAATGCACAAAGGCATGACAGCATGTGCTTACAATCCCAGTGCTGGGAAGATGGAGACAAGAGGCTCCCTGGGGCTCCCTGGCCAGCCAGCTTCCTTGATATGACCAGTTCCAGGCCAATCAGAGATTTTGCCTCAAGAAAAAAAAAAAAAAGGTGGACAATACATGAGGAACAACACTGAGGTTGATCTCTTATTTCCCCATGTATACACAACCCAAATATGATGTGCATGCACACCAGCACATATGCGAACACACACACACACACACACACACACACACACAGAAATATGGAGAAATTGAGCAAACATATGTTCCAGAGGTCTCTGAGCTGATAAGAACAGAGATCCAAATTCCAACCTGTTTGATTCCCCTCCAGACATCTTTCCCCTAGTTTTTTCTCTATTTTCCGGGCAGCTCTGGATGCAGTGGCCGCACCCCCATATCTTGCTCCTCCTGGATGATTCTCTAGACTTACCCCAGTGTCCACCTCTGCTCAGAGACTCACTAGGTTCCACTGGGGACAAGGGCTCAGTGAAGCCCGTCCACCACTGTTCTGCCCTAAACATCTTGTTCCTTGCTTGTTGTGACCAGCTCACCCCTTGCTGCTGGAGCTTGGTTTGGCTTATATCTCAAGCATGAGGTCAATCTTTCCTGAGTCCAGAAAGCATGTCATGAGCAGCCTCAGGGGTCCAAAGGCCAGAGTGGTAGGGTCTGGCTCATCTGGCTACAGGTGGTGAGTTTGTCTCTCTTCTCTGGACTTTGCTTCCAGAAACATTACCGGTGTCAGTCATAATCTGGATACCTTGCTAGGTGCCACTCCCATCTTTGGGCAGGGCCTGGAGAAGGGAGCTTGCAGGACCCAGCCTCCTGTCCTTCCCTGATGCCACCTGCTCCAGCAGGGCTCAGGTGGATAGCAGGTTAGTGGTGGTTAGGTGTGGCCTTTGCTGCTTGTGGTGCCAGCTGTGCTAGGATGTAGGTTCCAGAGGCATTGCTCAAGCAATTTTCTATTTAGATGGGCTCTTAAGGCTGGGTGTTATGGCTCACGCCAGTTATCCCAACACTTGGGAGATGGAGGCAGGAGTTCAAGGCCAGCCTTGATTATAGAGCAAATTTCAAGGCCATCCTGGGTTACATGAGACTGCGTCTCAAAACAACCAAACAAACAGACAGGCTCCTAAAATTCATTCTGCACCATGCCCTGGGGTACAGAAAAGAGTTCCCAGAGCAGGCCCTGGGTACAAGGTGAGCCTTGGTTGGTATTCAGGATCCTAGACTCTAAAACGGTTCCCACCTTTCCTGGAAATGACAAGGATGGTTGACTGTGCCTCTATGGTTTAGTTTATGCAACGGGAGGCTGGTGATATGGCTCAGTGGTAGAGAATTTGTTTAGTACACATGAGGCCCTGAGTTATACCCTCAGTACCAATAAGAAAGCGGTGGTGGGGGGAGTAAATGCAGTGTTGGGGGAGAGAGCGTCTATGTAGTGATGGGAAAGCACTCCAGGATATAGAAGATATATTCAGTTTTCTTAAATTCTTTAAAAATTTTTTTATTTTTATTTTATGTGTATGAATGTTTTTCGTGCTTATATGTAAGTGCACCACGTCCTGCAAAGCCCACAGAGGTCAGAAGAGAGTATTGGATCCCCTGGAACTGGAGTTAGACAGTTGTTAGCTGCCATATGGGTGCCAGGAATTGAATCTAGGTCCTTTGAAAGAGCAGACAATGCTCTTAACCACTGAGCCATCTCTCTAGCCCCTAGTTTGTTTTTTTTTTAAGGCACAGAACAGTATATGTGTCAAGTTACCATTTAACACACACACACACACACACACACACACACACACCACACTGTTTAGGTTTTAATTTTGTTCTTGCAGTTGATTTGAATTTTCCACAGTGTAAAGCTCGCCAAGTATTCTGTGCACTTGGTGGCATTTAAATAGAGAGGAGTGCGCTCAGCCTCGACCTGTGAAATCTGTCCCCAGCATCCCAGGCTTATTGACTTCAGTATTCCTTCTCTGCACATCTGATTGCTCCTCCTGCTTCTGCAACAGATCATATTCACATAAGCTTCATAATTGTTTAAATGATTTTACAGTTTTGTAAATATGGCTGGGGGGCGGGGCATATTGATAGAGGGATAATTTTCCTAGATTGAAATTCACTCTTTTGGTGCACAGTTCTGTGAACATTGAAAACACATACAGTTGTTTAACTATCACCTCAGTCAAGATAAAAACAATTCCATGACCCCCAAAAGTCCCTTCCCATTTTTCCATTCTGTCCCTCCTCTGTCCCCACCTGGTTGTATTTTCTAATCCTCTCCTCAGGTCCTCAAGCTTGTGCAGCAAGCGCTTTACACACCAAGCCATCTCCCCAGCCCCCAAGTCTTTTCTTGCTGAGCAGTCTTCAGTTCACCAGGGTTTATAAACACTGTGATCCTCTTTCTAAATAATCAGCCTATTGACATATCCAGGAAAACTGGCTATGAGACAGATTCTCAAAGTAGAGAGATAGGAGGCAGAGCAGTGGGACATATTTCTTCATTTTACAGAGGAGAATTAGGGCTGGGGAGGGGGCTCAATTGGTAGAGGGCTTACCTAGGCTTCATTGATCCCAGCATTGCATAAACCAGAAGTGGTAGAGTACTCCTAACAATCCAGAGGTAGAGGTAGGAAGATCAGGAGTTCAAGGTCATTCTCAGCTACACAAGACTCTGTCCCCCTATCCCTGCCCCACACACACAAAAGAGGAAAATTATACTACCTTTTCTATAGAAAATGCCTTTAGAAAGGGAAGAGTTTATCTGGGTGTGCTAGTGCACACCTGCAATCCCAGCCTTTGGGAGGCTAAAACAGGAGGATCTGTGTGAATTTAAGGCCTGGGCTACATAACAAGATCTTCCTTAATTTTTTTTTTTAAATTTAGAGCAACAAAGAGAAGCAATTAAAGTCCACCTAATGTGCTGAATGGAAACAGGAGCTGGAGCAAGGCAACAGCCACCCGAAGTTCTCATTCCTTCCAATGAGATGCCCGTGAGTAGGCAAGTCTAGAAAGCAAAACTGTGTTCCCAAGTGGGTGTGACCTCTAGGCAGGGTCACAGTGAAGAGGGTAGGGGCTGAGAATGTTCTTGATCTGGGAGTCATTAAATGAGTGTGGTCATTTTGTGAAAATTCAGTGGTAGTTTCTATGGAAGATTCGTGTCCTTCCAGAATGCATATTATATTTTAACCAAAACAAATTTCTTTTTGTTTTAATTTAAATGTGTGTGTGTGTGTGTGTGTGTGTGTGTGTGTGTGTGTGTGTGTGCATGTGTCTTTTTGAGAGGGTCTCCCTGTAGCCCCAGCTGGCCTGGAACTCACTCTGTAGACCAGACTGGCCTCAAACCCACAAAGATCTGCCTGCCTCTGCCTCCTAAGTTCTAGGACTAAAGGCATGTGCCACCATGCTCGGCTTTAATTTTAATTTTTATCAATTGATTGAGAAAGGGTCTCCCGGTGTACCCCAGGCTGGCTTCAGATTCACACAGATCCTTCTGCTTTAGTCTCCCTGTCTCAGCTTCCTGAGTGCAAAGCCCTTGCCTAGGCCGATTCCTGGGTTCCTAATCCCTCCCTTACCAGACAAACAGTCCAGGGCCAGCCACCTCACCTCTCTGAGCTCCAGTTCACTTCTGTGTAAAGTGGGGATAAGGCTGTGAGGACCGTTGTGGTTTAGTCCCAGTGGGCTCTTGGACTAAAGGCTTCATTTCTGATGAAGGTGAGGCTTTAGGGGAAGTGACTGGATCATGAGGGTTCTCTGCTTTTTAATTTTTTTATATTTTATTTATTATTTTTATTATTTTATGTGTATGAGTGTATTACCTGCGTGTATGTGAGTGCACCCGTATTGTGCAATGCCACGGAGGTCAGAGGAGGGCTCCAGATTCCCCTGGAACTGGAGTTAAGGACGGTTTGTAGCCACCATATGGGTGCTGGGAATCGAACCCAGGTCCTCTGCAAGAGCAGTCAGTGTTCTTAACTGCTGAGCCATCTCTCCAGCTTGGTTCTCTGCTTTTGACAGTGGATTAATCCAATCTTATTTTGTGGTAGTGGATATTGAACCTAGGAAATCACACATGCTGGGCATGTACTCTATCACTGAGCAGTGTCTCCAGCCCTGAATCTAAACTTTTATTATTTTAAAAATATTTTACTTATTTTAATTTTATGTATATGAGTGTATTACCTGCATCTATGTAAGTGTACCAATGTCATGAATGCCCACAGAAGTCAGAAGAGGGTGTTGAATCCCCTAGAACTAGAGTTATGGATGGTTGTTAGCCACCATGTGGGTGATGGGAACAAAAGCCCCATCCTCTACAAAAGTAGCTAGTGCTCTTAACCCGAGCCATCTCTCTATTCCCTTATTTTTATTCTTAAAATTGTGTGTGTGGGCTGGAGAGATGGCTCAGAGCTTAAGAGCACTGTATGCTCTTGCAGAGGACCCGGGTTCGATTCCCAGCATCCACATGACAGCTAACAACTGTCAATAACTCTAGTTCCAGGGGATCCGAAGCCCTCTTCTGACTTCTGTGGGCACTGCATGACACAGGTGCACCTACCTACATGCACGCAATACACTAGCACACATAAAATAAAAATAAGTATTTAAAATTATGTGTGTGTACACCTGTGATTGCAGATGCCCATGGAATCCAGTAAATCTCCCCTGGAACTGGAGTTACAAGCAGTTTTGAGCTGCCCAACATGGGTTCTGGGCCCTAACTTAGGTCCTCTACAAGAGCAGTATACACTCTTAACCATTGCTATCTCTCCAGTCTTCCAAAATAAAAATTTAATAGACTACCGGGGGGTGGTGGAACTGTGGGCCTCCAGGCAGGAGTGAGGCTTCAGAGGCACAAGCCTATGGGTACAACATCTCTTGCCTCACCAGACCACATAGCCCTCAAGCAAGGGGACACAGAAGGTAAATGGGGACAGAGAGGGTAAAGTCTGGCCAGGGTACCCAGCTCACTTGTTATCAGCGCTGGCACAGCAGGGCAGGACCATTGGGTGGGGCTGCTTTTTATCTTTTGAGGCACAGTGTTGTGAGCCTGAACTTTGAGGTGACAGGCAACTCTTCCCCGGGCATCAGTGATTGAGTGGAAGAGTCCAGAGGGTTGATGGCATAGGATACAGGCTCATTGGGCACTGTGAACTGGGATCTGGGGCCACTCCCAGCTCCCCACTCCCTGGCTCTAATGAGCTTGAAGGTTTTCCTGTGTGTGGCACTGGGGACACTGAGGAGGCTCCTGGAGGTGTCATTCACATGTCTGTAACTGTTCCTATAACAACCTCTCACTTTTCCTTTGTGAAAGTTTATGTCTTTACCTCTCTGTTCACATGGAGTATCCCAGGTGGTTGTGATCAGTCATATGGGCTAGGACTGACCTATGAAAATCCTTGTGAGTGATCAAAGATGGTTTCATGACCACAACTGGCCAATGTGGGTTTGCACTGGGATAGTTGCTTCAGAAAGACCCTGTCTCTGAGCTCTAGGTTTGCTGTGCTGATCAAGTGGTGCTGTGGTGGCCATAGAAAATGTACCTATGTGAACCAACACAGAGAAAGCAGAGCTGAGAGGGGGCATGCAGGGTCCAGGTGTCTTAGGAACTTGTTCTACACATGAACCTAACATGGCCCTTTTTGCACAAGTTTGAGTTGGGTCCTCTGGCATTTATAACCACAAGTCCGCACAAACACAAGAATAACAACAATGTGAGCACGTTCTCACCTTCCTAGGGGTGGGGAGAGTAGTCTGACCTACCGGGAGGAATATTTGATTAAATTTTATTAACAACATTGCTTAGGTTTACTGGTACAAAAATGATAAAACTAACAGAATTTAGCAAGTTTTTATTAGTATCTTAAAATTAGTATTTACTAGTATTTTCATTTGTGTATTAGTGTTAGTATTGTTAGTATTTTTTACTTATTTATTTATTTATTTATTTAATTTATTTATTTATTTGATTTTGAGTCAGGGTCTTCTATAGTCCCACATGGCCTGGAACTTGCTATGTGGACCAGGCTGGCCTTAGTCTCACAGAGATCGACCTGCCTTTGCCTCCCAAGTTCTGGAACTAAAGGTGTGCACCACCATGCCCAGCAATACTTCTGTTTTTGTTCTTGTTTTTTTTTTCCCATATTAAAAAAAACTTTGTGGGGTTAGAGAAATGGCTGACCGGTTAAGGGCACTGACTGCTCTTGCAGAGGACACGGGTTCGATTCCCAGCACCGACATGGTGGCTACGAACTGTCCTTAACTACAGTTCCAGGAGAATCGAAGCCCTCTTCTGACCTCTGCAGAATTGCATGACATGGGTGCACTCACATGCATGCAGGCAACACACTCATACACATAAAATAAAATAAATAAATATTAAAAAAAAAACCTTTGTGTATGTGTACTTTTGTATGTGGGAGCACACGCCATGGCACACTTACAGAGGTCAAAGGATAAGCTCTAGTGTGGAACCTCACCTTCTACCACTGCAACAGCAGGCTAGCTGGTCCATGGGTGTCCAGGGATTCTCCTGGTTCCACTTTCATTTCTTGATAGGAGAGCTAGGATTACAGATGTGCACTACCAAATTTGGCCTTATGTGGGTTCTAGGAACCTGAACTCAGGACCTCATGCTTGTGTGGCACTTTATAAACTGAGCCATCTTCCTAGCCTGTTTTTTGTTTTTACTTATTTTTATTTTATATATATGAGTGTTTTGCCTGCATGTATGTAAGTACACCACATGTATGCAATGCCCGCAGAGACGGTCAGATAATCTGGAACTGGAGTTACAGACTGAGCCATCTCTTCAACCCTCTCCCCTGCCCCCTTTTTTTGACACAAGATATGACTATGTACCCCAGGCTGGCCTCTAAAATTTATAATCCTCCTACCTCAATCAAGGGCTGGGATTACAGTTGTGTACCACCACACAGGGTTTAATAATATTTTGTGTGTGTGTGTATACAGGGTCTTACTCTGTAGCCCAGACTGCCTTCAAATTTTCTGTTTAGGTCAGACTGGCCTTGAACTCATGGTCATGCTCCTTTCTCTACATCTTTATGGATCCCAGGTGTCCTAGAACTTGATATGTAGCCATGGATGACCTTGAACTTCTGATCCTCTCGCCTCCACTTCACATTATAGTATGTGCTCCCATGGCAGATTTCCAACTTATTATTACTTTGACATTCCTTGTAGACAGTGCACCTTTGTGATAGACAGTACTCACACCCTCCTTCAAGGATTTCCTGCCCAGTTGTGGGGGGAGTAACCAGCTGTCATCTCTTACATATAGTCTTCCTCAGCTATAGACTGCTTCCTTCCCAGGGTAGCCCTTATTTGGTTACAGAGCACATGAGCAGGTTGCATGATGTCAGTCCAATGGGGAGACAACTGTGCTGGTAAGGCTGTTTCCAGAGCCCCAGTAGAGTTGGCCAAGGTCTTGTATCTCCACCACTTGACTTCTCCCCTACCTAGTTCCCCTTTTCCTTTGACCAGTATGGAGCCCTAAAACCATCTTGCACTGCAGAGTTTATTACTATGCCAATATCATAATCACCTGAACAAATAGACTGACTCTTAATTTTTTTTTGTTTTGTTTTATTGATCTTTTTGAGTCAGGGTCTCCCTTGTAACCCCAGCTGGCTTAGAACTCGATTTGTAGACCAGGCTGGCCTTGAATTCACAAAGATCTTCCTGCCTTTGCCTCCCAAGTGCTGGGATTAAAGGCATGTGCCACTAAGCCTGGCTAAATTAAGTTTTTAAGAGTGGGCCTGGGGGCTGGAGAGATGGTTTGGTTAAGAGCACTGACTGCTCTTGCAGAGGACCCGGGTTTGATTCCCTGCACCCACATGGCGGCTACGAACCGTCCAGGGGAATCAGAAGCCCTGACTTCCGTGGCATTGCACACCACGAGTGCGCTCACATACATGCAGGCAATACACTCATACACATAAAGTAAAAATAATAAATAAAGTGCTTAAAAAAAAGAGTGGGCCTGAACTTAGAGGACACTAGCTCCCCTAGCTATCTATTAGAACCTTCTGTCTCCCAGAACTGTGCCAATGGATCTCTCTTATCCCCTCAACTTATACAGATGCAGTTGTCCTCACCCTGTGCTGCTGAAAATGTTTCTGGAACCCTGGTTCTCCTACTGTGTCCCCCATCAGGCCACACCCATAATTTATTAAAAATGTT